ACTCACTTCAACTCGTTGACCGGTGAAAAAGACACTTTAATATAACATCGACCATTACGATGCAAGCTGATCTTCCGACTCCAGCTGAACAATGAACAACAACAGGACCCATGTCGAGTTTGTTTGCCTGCAAAGTTCAACTAATTAGAGCATTGCGGAAAGACCTCACTTGTAAGGGAACTGTGGCTCGCTGTCATTTACCCATTGTTGGAGGATTGGTCTCGGTATGGTAAGTGTCGTGATATCCGCAAATACGTATCATCGCGATAGAGGTTCACATCACTCACCACAAAACTTTTCGTAAGAGTCGAAGTACATGTCGTCCACTTGGCGGCACACCCTTGTCAGGCCAGTTTGTCATGTGGATTAATTTCACAATGTGTGAGTTTGAACAGCCATCAGGCAGTATTTCAACAGTGTAGACAATATAGTTATCATCACGTTCTATCTAAAATCATCTTATTGACTTAATGAATGTACGAGATTTCGTTTCTGTTGAGAGTATTTTTGGAAATTTTGAATGAGAAAAGCTACTAGTGCTCTTTCTCTTACGAAGAACAGTTGTAATTTCACTCATCTGACACCTAGCTCTTAACAAAGAATTGTTCAGAGCCAAGACCAAGTGTTATATAAGAGTTGCCACGTGACACGATCAACATTTCTTGGTCTCACCAAACGTATGTTGATCACCCTATTTGAGGGCGAGCTTTGGAGATACGCTGCTCTCACCTTCGAAGCACATGACCCTTGCGTGTGAGGTCAGCGGGTCCGCAGCTGTAGCAATGAGCCATGCTCGTCGTTCGAAAGTGCGCCGAGGTGGGCCTGCTGGAAAGTGGTATCCATATGCCTTTTCGGGCTTCTCACACAGGCGCATAACGTGACACACGACCAGGCATACGCTCAACCGCCGCTCTTTGCCAAACGCGCTTCTTATCTACGTCCTCTCGCATTTAGGGTTCCCTACAGTTAGCCGCGATAGGCAGCCTGCCATCCAAGTTGTTCGGTGCGGGACCTCGGCGTCGTTACATATAGCGCGCGTGGTGTCCGAAACAGCATCCTTCTATCACGGGCCAGCACCCTCATTTTCGCATACCCTCTACTTAAGTGAATGACCACTTCCACAGCTGCGGATCTGTCTACAGTCCTCATCATTGCGGACCGGTGGGGCGTGTCAGCCAGTATGAGTGTGCACACTGTTGAAGCCGTTCTCAGCCTTTTTGTTGAAACGCGTATGCGACAAAAAGTGGTAGAAACGAGTAATACGAAGGATATAAATTACGACTATATCAACTTGCCGCTTCAACAACTAGGGCTGCTAAACGACTTTGGCACCGGCGCCAGACGCAGTGCCGGCACTGACACCCCACCGGATCGCCGCAGGCAGTGAGGACGTATCCTTGGCACATTGGCGAAGACCCTGCTTGGCACGTAAGTAGCAGCGTATTTGCGGGGAGTGTCCCCGCAGCCGTTCTCGAGTTCCTTCAACTGAATGAGATTGTAGCCGAAGAATTTTAAGTCCTTCCTTTATAGCTTGAGTATGTTTATCGCCTCGTTACGAAATTCTTCACTTCACCTTTTTTCGATGTTTACGACATTTGTCATATGTGATTAAAAGCTTCAGCTCTCATGGCCAAGTATGGCACACAGTTTCCATGTTTTTCCTACTTTCAATAGGCTGAAAATACCAGTTAGTACGACCGCTTCATGTTTCAATCTTGACTGTTTTTGAAGCTGTTTTGTTATGATAACTGCTGTTTAACGCCGCAGTACGCGTTCCGAATGTTATCACAAGAATGCTGAGTTGTGGGCAAAAGTCGTGCCCCAGGCGGGAGTCGACTCGCTGGGGCACGACTTTTGCCCCACAACTTTTGTGGATACAATTTGACTGTGTTAGCGTCTATAATTAGCTTTCCATTATCCTTTCATTCTTATAACCAGTACTTGGGGTGTTGTCGGTTTGTATGTTTGTATGTATGTACTGTATTGTTGTTATGTTGATGTATGTATGTAATGTATGGTATGTGATGTTTGTTCCGGTCTGTCCGTCCGCAAAATATTCACGGGTTCGAGTTCGCTGGAGGCGAAAATGACCGCTAGGCAAACCGGTAACCGACTGGGAGGATGTAGCAGTCCAATGATTTGATTGTGATAACAGCCTCCGCTATATAAGACAACCATTCTCGGTTACACTCGAGCCATTGGCACGGAGGGCTGGCGTGGCAGGCGGGACGTGTGCTCTGGGGGGCGGGTGGTGGGAGGGTACCGGATGCCCTGCTCATTTCTCCTGACACGTGCTCAGCCGCGGACTGGGGGCAAGTGTGGGGGGAGGGAGGCAGAGCGGAGGGTCGCGGGGTACAGTGAGGGGTGCGTAGCGCGCGTTTCAGTAGAAACGCGCACCAAGGGATGAGGAAACAACCGCTAACAAAACTGCAAGCCAATCTATGTTACCGTAACGAACTAAGAAGTTGTTTTGGAGTTGTTAACACTCTCACTTATACAAGAAACCACGTACATCCGAGCAGTTGGCACGGTTGCCGCGTAGCAGTAGGACGTAACGCATTGCAAGGGGCAACGTGGGGGGGTGGGGAGACGAGGGGTTTTGAGTGGAGAGTAGGAATGGGTGGGAGGTGAGGAGGAAGGTGGGAGTTAGTATCGAGTGACCCCCTTCTCCCATCCTCACTCCCTTGCGCGTACTCAGTCGTCTGAGCCCATGCAGGGGATAGGAGGCATATGGATTGAATCGGGCAAACTGGGTACAGTAAGGGGATGCGTAGCGTACGCTTGATAGGAGCAGGCGGCAAGAGAGAAGGAAAGAACCGCTAGCAAAACTGCAAGCTAATCCATGTTACAGCAACGAACTAAGAAGTTGTTTGGATTGTGAATCGCTCCCGCTATCTAAGCCAACCACTGTGATATACTCTGTGCTACTGCAGGAGCTGCTCGCTTGGGAGCTGGACGTGAGCACGTATGCATAGGTGAGTGGTTAAGAACGTGGCGGGTAGTGTCTATGTTGCATGGCGGGCTGCCATCCCGTCGGCTGTGGGTGGGTGCCGGTTAATATGTCAGTGGATATGATGTGGTGAGGGGATACCAGATCGAGAACGGCGATTTCGCGATTAGGAGCACATAGCCCCTGCGGCGGTAAGGCGTCTACGGTTGCGACAAGATGGGAAGAAAATGGATCGACCGCAATCGGAACTGAACCGATTAATGTTGCATTATCAAATTGTGGTAGCGTTTTGATAGTCATAACACCCTCCACAACATAACACAACCATTTAGTGCACTCAGAACATCATGAGCTGATTCCCGCCGGTTAGCAGCTGATGTGTGGAACCTGTAGGGTGGTGTGAGCGGGTGGAATAGCTGAGCGTTAGTTTGGCAGATAGGTGAGAGTGAAGGCGACCACGGTACCATCATTGGCGCGACGACGGTTCCTGAACAGGGAGCGCGCAAGCGACTCGGAGACCGAAGAATCCCGTCGGCTGTCATAAAGATGGGAGAGACAGTTTCGATTATCCATGACCAGATTTTAAACTTTTCATTATAAAAGTGCCCTGCAACTATATGGCGCGTTCCTACATTTATTTGATTAGAAGACACCGGTTAGTCACCATGAGAGCACCATAAATGCCTAAGACAGTAGTATCGCCCTGCTTATGCCTTACTTTGCTCCTTTCTTTCACGAGTTAAGAAGTGAGGCTCTAAAGCAGTTGCATGAGCCCGGGCTTCGGCGCCGAAGCCAGGGCTCTAAAAGAAGGAGGAGAGCTCGGCGTCAGCCGGGCGATCCGACTGGTTCATGAATAAATCATTTGGCGTATGATGTAGTGTACTTTTGTAGTTTTCTGAGCCAATGCTAATGCTCACGCTAGCATGCATGTGAGAGAGTGTTCGAAAGTAAACGAAAGTTCCACAAAAGTACTCGGAACGTTTGTTTTGTTATAGGGTGCCGATGAAGCTGGTATACGAGGGAGTCTGATTTGATATCAAACCGATGATCAACAGCTTCTCGCTACTGTCACACCTATCTACATTAAGCCTTCGCCCCCGTTATGAATAACTTCCAAATTGTTTTGGAAAGGAATATCGGCGGACGGTACACCGCCCAACTTTGGCGCTACAAGTTCAGGAAAGGCGGCTGTACTTCGAGCGGTAGGAGAAAGGATCACATTTTTGAACACTGCAGCGGATCCCTGGATAGTCCTTAAAACCACTACGACAGTGCGACATGTCCCAACGCAAATATCCGGGAGAGCGAACTAGCGACTTGCGGCTGGAGTGTCGTTCCTCATGCCTCACAACCTATTCTTGGGGCTCAATTCACATTCATGTAAAAGTTCGTGCAGAAGGAGAAGAAGAAATGGAAGGAACCTCCCGCGCGAAACATTGGCAGCGTTTGATGCAAAAGTGCGCTTTATCTCTCAAAGGCTAGGGTGTTACTCTCTAAATCTCACTGCAACTATCACTATCACCTGCTCTGAAAATTTGGTTCCATTTGGGCTGCAGAAACTTTGACGTCTTTCACAACATAGAAGAGGGATTCGGTGGTTTCTCTGAGAACCCAGCTAACCACATTCTCGTTGGAAGGCATCTGGGACCGACCCAAATATTGGCACAGAAGCATTATGTTAATGTTGATCCTAACGAGGACGTTAGTGATGTTCCAGAGCTACTAGATGACGTTTTCATGAAAACACAATTTACCTGCGTTAGATTAACAATGCTTGGGCAGTTTTCTTGGAATACCATACGCCAAAAATCGCCTATCGTACTTTCAAGTGGGGCCTAAAGTTGTACATGTTATAAGAAGTAGTTGAGAATTGTTAACAGAGTTTTTGAGCTGCAAAGCCACAATTAAAGCTTCCAAGTTTCCTTTGACCTGAGCTGATGATTCTTGATGACTTTATAAGTCTGTGAGTCAGGACATCAGAGTTAGGATGGCGCAGTAAAAACGGTTTCGCCCTAGTGAAATCCGCTATTGGCAAAAATATTTCTGTCGCAACCCTCGTGTAACATCGTATTCAGCTTACCATTAGTTGGCATTTGTTAACGTATGAGTGCTCTAGTAGGCTAAATAGCGCTTCGGGCATATCTAAGCTCTGAAATAGTTTAGACGGCGCCGTAACCAGAGTGGCGAAAGGGTGTCCTCATTGGGTCCTCACCGGGACCCAATCAATTCGACGTGGCAGTTCTGCGTTTCATGAGTCAACTAGCCGGGAAATGCTATGTCAGATTGCGCGCGACGCCGTGACACAGCTAACAATTTAGGCTGTGAAGTTCCTGTCGCCTGAGGAGATGGGATCAACGCGCAGCGCGCTGTCAGCTTTCTTTACGCCACCGCACTCGGATGTCGTTCCTCACATCTGTATGAAATTCGTGCACACATGTATGACGGCAGGCCTAGTACTGTTAGAAAGGAATACAAATTACGAGAAAGAGGAGAAATTGCGAAGATCTGAAGATGGTCACACCTGTGTCATTATGAATATTCTATCATGTTTTTCGAACTTCACCCAGTTAGCATGAATGTAGTCTGTTAATGGAGGTACATTCATGGTGTAATACCACTCGTGTCGCATCCAGACAAACGACGTCCTGAAACACTCAAAGAATCTGTGTTAAGCAGGAGATAATGGATGCGCAGTGATGCAGAGCGAACTGCAGGGTGAACAATTTTGCAGCTAGTGACAGCAGGCGATGGAAAACAACTGAAACGAACGATATGATGCAAAATTTTCGCTTGCTCGCATCAATAATTGGCGTAAAATGGGTTAGGCATTGCAACAAATCCACTCCTCCCGACAAGCTCCATCATTCGTAGTGAACAAAACTGCAACGCAGCGAACAAACTAGCTGTTTAAGGCAGTTGGCACGATGGTTTCCTACTTAGCCTAAAATGCTAGTAGGGCGCTGTATAGTGAAAAATGGCGAAAGAACGGAGTGAAACGGTCAAAATCCTGCGAAGAAAAAGCCTCCGTTCTCAGTGACTTGTAAATCGATTTCGGACGAGTCTTACCAATCACCGCTACCGAAGATACGGCTGCATATGTGTACCCATGTATGCATGCAGCATCACGGCCGCTTCATACCAATCCCTTCGCTTCATAATTTGCTTAGCAAATGAATCGATTAGAGCGTCAGGAACGGTCGTCCATTTGTGGGCGGGCGGGCGTGGCGGGCGTTTGGGACGTAAAGTTGTGGCTTGATAGGGCCCTTATAAGGGCACCTTCCTCGGGGAAACCGCTATGCAGCGCCTGCCCAGGGTCGCGGAATTCTATCCTGCCAGGAGTATTGATCCTAGTCGCCTTGGGGATTTATCGTGCCAACTGCCTTTAAGTGTACCTTTCCCGTGCAGAAGATGGACAGATCTTGTGCCTTCCCAAAGCGAAAAATCACGACAGAGCGTGATGAGGATCCCAAACCCAACCATAGCCCGAAAGACCCGTTGTTCATCATTCAATACGCAGGGCGACCAAATGATAGACTCACGTGCTGCGTTGCTCGCCCGCGGCTTTTCCTTTGTTTCCTGAGTTTCACTCTGGGATTAGTAAGGCTGATGGTTTTGGGGTGACCCCAAATGTAGTATGCAACAATCTGGCAATTGAGAGCCGTCTGACAGATATGATAAGATATGAGCCCGTAAGAGGTCACAGTGACCTCAGCCATGCTTGTCGACTGTATTAGTGAGAGGAAGAAGATGAGCATGCGTTCGTGTGGCGTAGTATCACACGATCGTATGGAGTATGGCGTACAGAATGCAGAGCATGAACGTAAATGACTCAGCATTCAAAAGCCCTTACGCACGTCTGCCCCACAAATCCTATCCGCAGCCTCAACGTGGCGTGGGGGTGAACGGTTTGGACTGTTCCAAACCGTACCAATGCGGAGGGTGCCACGTCAGAGCCTGGCGAGCTACGCGTGGTTAAACTTTCTTCTCGCCGAAAACAGTCCTCATTCCCCTGAAAGGGAACCACCGACAGGGCGACGTCGGCTGGGACCGCTCGGGCGAGGCTGCAAGAATCACAGGGCCAACGGAGATTTAAGTCGCCCAGGACTAGGATGACGATCTGTACTTTCAACGCACGGACGCTTGCATCGGAAGCTCACATCGAAGATCTGATGTTGCAAGCCAGGAAGATCAAGTACGTCGTCATCGTACGGACTGACCGAGACGAGGAGGCATCGCCCGCTACACCCCGTATATGAGACTGGAGAAGAACTATTCCTCGGAACATGCGACAGCAGAGGCGTTGGCGGTGTGATCGTCCTCGTCAACACGCACTTGGCCA